TTTATATATTTTATAGAAGATAGATAGATAAATAGATAGATATCTACCCCTCTCTCTTCCTCTAACCCTAACTTATAAACTCATTTTTCTCTCTTCCTGCCACTCCCACCACCACGCAGTAGACCTGCAACCGCCACCATCCTACTGCCATCCTGCCACCACCACCATCCCATTGTCACTGCCACCACCAACATTCATTATGATCTCTCTTCCTATTTGTAGCTCCACTTCCTTCATTTTTGTCATAAGTATCATTTTCCAACATTCTTGCATTAACTTATCAAAGCTTCCCAAGCTTCACAACCCAAACGTCTATGGTGTTAATCCACTCATATTCGAAGGGATTAGTTTTGAATGTACTCTCTAATTAGCATGAGTCCTATGAATTACAATCAAATACGTCATTATTTCATTGGATAAATATTCGACACTCAAATGTTTTCACCACATACATGTTCATTAAGTTATAGTTCACAAAGAAAAGATTCTTTAGTCTTTCAACGTCCAACTTATTCCTCTTCTTGGTATGGATATGCTCAAACACCGGTAAGTGAGTAAATGTACATGTTTTTATTCTCATTTATTGATTGTTTGGCTTTGTAAATTGTAATATTCGTTCCTTGGCCCAGTTTAACTTATTAGATGATGATGATGATAGGGTAACAACTAAGCAGTGATTCATCAATTGCTTGTGGAGTTGTGGTGGTGAATGAGATGGTGTTGAAGTTGTATTTGAAAGTAGCGATGGCAAAAATATCCGTAACCGTGGATATCCGTCCTAATCCGCCTTAATCGGGTATGGTAGAATTCGAACCTGAATGAATTTTAGTGGGTTCGGGTTGGCAAAAATATCTGTAACCGTGGATATCCGTCCGAATCTGACCTAATCGGGTAGGGTAGAATCCGAACCCGAATGATTTTTAGTGGGTACGGGTAAAACCCGAACCCGAATATTGCGGGTAATGGGTGGGAATGGTTTTTCACTATCCAACATGAACCCGTCCGATTATACACATGCATATGTATTTTGTCTAGAAACAATCAATATTTTTTCTAACATATTTTATATTTAACATATAAATATAATTTTTTTTTATGAAATTGTGTTGTTTTACTTAATTTTCTTCATTCTAGTGAATTATTGTCGTACTTTTCGTCTTACCTAACATGAGAATACGTGTAATATTAACATATTGATTGGGGTCATAAAGAAAATTAATACCCATGGATAACCGTGGATATCCGAAACCCAAACGGGTATGAGCATGATTTGGATTTTCTACCCGTTTTTTATGTAGATATGGGTATGGGTAATGGTAAAACCCAAACTACTTTGGGTAGGATAACGGATATGCACTATCCGTCCCCGACCCATTGCCATCTTATTTGAAAGTTGTTTGAGTGATTTCATGATTATTGTTCTATGTTTAGGCTCTTTGTTTCATTGTTTTTATTTGTGGAACCATGTGGTTATTGTGAGGTATGGACTTTAGACCTTTTAGTACTCATATTTAAAATTCGTTTTAAGAGTAATGCGCTTATAATTTAGTGTGCTTAAAAAATTGTCTAGTTTTATAATATTCTTGTTTATTGGACATCAATTCATAATGATTTTCTAACGGTCTAATACAAATTAAACCAATAAAAAATAAATTGTTCATTGCACCTGATTACATATTCTCCCTCCACTATGTGACCCCTTTTGAATTTTTTATGCATTTATGAGGATTGCTATTCGTTGCCCTAAAAATCCTTATTCGTCGCCCTAATTAAGTTAATTTTACTTTAATGTCCTTAGTGCATTTATTTACAGGGAAAAAACTACAGCGGTGGCCGGGCTACCAAAGATCATGTCCATTTCAGCTGGGGACATGGAAGCAAGCTACATTGGGATTTATTAATATGGTTGCTTTTCATTGGGGACACAAAACTGTGGCATTTATTTGGACAAGTACAAAAATGGCACCAAAATTTCGGCGTCAATTCTCCGACAACCGCCGCTGGAGCTGTGAGCGGGCGGCTGGGTCGCGTTTTGCAAGTAGGAGTTCAATTATACTTAAATCGAGTAATCGACTCCTTGTTCCCTTGCCCTTTTTTCGTTTGAATTAGCTTCGAACTCCGGCTACTCCGAGGTGGGAGAGAGACGAAAGTAAGGATAATATAAATTTTATTAAGGGGTAAATATGTCGATTTAGTGCGTTTTAGGGCGATAAAATTTGAATTTTAGGGCGACGAATAGCGATTCAGTTTATAAATTGATTTCGAGACTAAAAAGTTAACCAAACCATAAAAATTACAACTTACAACACACATTTAAAGCATCTCGCCGAATAAAAAAGAAAAGAAAGACACAATAAATTTTTAACCTTAAAAAAAATGGAGGGGGGGAAAGAGAACAAATGGAAAGAACAAATCAGTAGCCATCCATCCCAGCCAGTTTACCAACAAATGGGATTAATTAGTAGTAACTAACAAGGCAACCATTAGCTGTTCAAGAGAGATTAGCTGTTACGAGAGAGAAGCATTGTATCTGGCTCTGTCAATGGAATAGGAGAAGAAAAATTAGTTTGGAGGACCGAATGTAGAAGACACCAAATGTTCAGGGACGGGAGAATCTTAGCTTAGCCGAAAATGGCAATTTCCAATAACAGTCCCCGAAAAGTTAATTTTGTTAACTAGTAGTATATTCTCGTACCTGTTTGTGTGTATTAGTTGCGTTGTTAGCTGTCCAACCAATTTTGCAGTCAACAATAAATTCCCACAGATTCATTGGCAGACGCAGCAGAGTCCACACCTCCCTTTCACCGTCACCGTCACTCTCTCTTTCTCTCCGCCGGCGAACGTTGTTTCTTTCCCTCCCCTTCCCTTTCTATATATCTACAGGTAACCTTTCTCCCTCTTCATAGGACTTCAATTTTCTCTCAATTCTCCATTTCTCCCTCCCTCCCTCTTTCTCTCTCTCGCTCAACCTTTCATTTCTGTACTGAAATTCCGTAGAGATGGCGGTCACGATGAAGCTGATGTCCTTGCTAGTCGCCGGTCTCGGCGCGCTCTCCTTCCTATTCGGCGTCATCGCCGAGAACAAGAAGGTATATGCTCTTCTTCTAATCGGTCCAACACTCTTTTTCTTTCCTTTTTTCTGGTTCTGGTTTGTCATTTCTCCAGGGTTTGATTTGAGATATTTTTTCCGTTTTTCTTGCGGCAGCCGGCTGCCGGGACTCCGATTACCGGGAAGGGTGTGGTGATCTGCAAGTATCCGGCGGATGCGACGGTGGTGTTGGGGTTCCTGTCCGTTGCGTTTCTGATAGCGTCGACGGTGGCTGGATATTTCTCCCTGTTTTACCCTTACAAGGGGAAGTCCGTCCCTCAATCTGCCATGTTCCGCAGCACCAGTTTTCTCATCTTCTTCAACATTGCCCTGTAAGCTCCGCACTTCTATGGTTTGAGCTGTTAAATTATAGAATGAATTGCATGATTATGTGGTTCTTCTGCTGTCACTTAGATCAGTGGTTGTGAGTTGTTGCTCCGATGGTTACCTTTTTTCAAGTTACAGTCATAGAATAGGGTCATGTTCTTTCTTGGTAGGTGGGATGATTTGCCGCAATCAGTTCATTCAACCCAAGGTTGGCTGGCTTGATTTGTAAAGAATACATTCCCACTAGAACCAGGCGATGTGCAGAAAGGATATGAATATGGCAGTCAAGTTGTGGGTTTTGCTTGTATTCTACTTTCTCCATAACTATGCTTTAAATGCCCATACGCACACTCAACTTGCTGCACTAGAAGTCTATTATTTCGACAGTTGACTTGGCTACGTGCGTCTACTTTGGATCTGTGCAGTTTTTTCCCTTCATGTTCCCACTTGGGCAGCCCTTTACTTAATTTCTATGGGGAGTTTAGAATTCGGATTTGGATGAACAATATGATGGCTTCTTTGCTTAGTTCTGAGAGCTTCACTTACCCCTTTCAGTCCATCGTGTGATCATGGCTTAGGACTCTGAAACCAGTGATTCACATGAGATTTTGCTTCTGTTTTTCTGCCTGAGTTAGAGCTGCAACTCAAATGTTCTTGGTTTAGAGTTTAGACCAGTCTTAGATCAGCTCTTTCGCCAGTTTGATTGCAGAGTTCAAGAGTTTTGTGTGAATGCATTTGGCAGGTTCACGGGTGGTTTAGCTGCAGCGTTGCTGTTGTGGCCGACTATTACAGAGCAACTTCACCTCTCGCGTAACGTTCATCGCAACTTGGAGACTGCGTGCCCAACTGCTAAGACCGGTCTCCTGGGAGGTGGTGCCTTTGTCTCTCTTGATTCGTCTCTCTTCTGGCTGGTTGCGCTCATGTTGGCCGCCAATGTTCGAGAAGACTACTTCGATGAAGTCGAAAAGGATGGCAAGTTAGCCGTAGACGATAGCACAGCTGCTGATTTTGATGAACCGTCAACCCTTAAGGGTTCTGCCTAGCGGCAGCCTTCGGTCATCTACCAAGGTTGAACTACTTCTATGTCTGGACATACATTCCATAAGGCCTTCCAAATTATCAATTGATCTTAATGGGAGCAAGCGTTGAACAATCTGGGACTTGCTTATTGTAAATATGGCTTGTAATTGTTGGAAGAAGGCACTTCTTTACTCTATACATTGGTATGGTAGTTTGAGTCTGTTATCATATAGATCGTTTCCGACTTTTCTTTATGGAGCTGAGCTACGAACTACGTAATTCAGCCTGTCGGTAATGCTTGCAAACAGCTTTCGTACTATGATATCTGCATCAGGTAGTTTTCAATGGTTTGGCTCAGGACTCTAGAGGTCAACCTAATCTGAACAAGGTCGAATGTTGTTGGCAATGTTAGTGCCAGCATACTTACTGAGTATTCTTTCTGTTAAAATATAGCAAATTGAAGAGCCCTAACCCAACATAAAACCCGTAGTAAGATCCCATTAAAGATCAGTATCTCGAGGCATAGCACGATTGCAAAATGTAGAACCTAAGGCAAGTCAAGTATGTAGAATCACCTAAGAGCAGGCAAGTCCGAGACATAGAATCCGTAAGGCATGTCCAGAATGTGGAATCAAGCTGTTCAATAACCATTTCCAGAAAATTCTGTAGTCGAGCTCGAGAGCATGAAACCCAGCAACGAGAGAAACAAAAGCACAAGGACAGGAAACTAAAAATTATATCACAACAGTTACAGCTCCACTAGCAGGGAACATTCAGCAATAAGGCAGTTCACCTCGAAGCCAACTCACAAATTGCAGCCACTCGGGTGATGCAAATTTCCATACTTGGTCAGCCTTTAAATACTTCTTCATGCGCTTACCATGCTTCTCATTCGATTGGCCTGTCCCATTACATGCTCAGCAAGTGGATGGAATGGAAGACCTTCATGTAGTGGTAGAATCACCACCACAAAATGATTCTATACTACGGATCTCCCACCTTGCATACGAAAATTTGGGGGGACACAACTTCCCTGTTCAAACAAAGCCAAAACCAAAAACATTTTATCAAACAGGTAGTAGTCTGATACCGAAGACTTTCTCAACGGAAGAAACAGCGTACGTCTCAATTGCTTCTTGGTAGGTATGGCTTGATGCAACAGCCAAAAGCTGTCCATTACAATTGTATGCAAGAGACGCAACACCGGTTGGATATTGTGGAAACTGAAAAGAAAGAGAAGGTAACAGTCAATAGCACTGGGATAATGAACCAGGGCATAAGTTTGTTTGCATGGTATAATTTCTTGTTGGAATTAGATGCAACATACCTCGAATAACCTTCTTTTGCTTTGAGCATCCCATGCTAGGAGATTGCCTCGATTATCACCAGTAACAAAAGCACCAAAGATACTAAAACAGAAACAAATACAAAAGGAGAAAAAGAATTAGCCCTGACTTTAGCAACCTTAATCACGACAGACAATTATTAGATCGGTATACATACCTTGGATTGAATTGTACGTCAGTGATGGCAGCTAGATGTTTTTTCCCATCTGCTGATTTGGGATGACAGCGAAAAGCATAGCTGTAGAAAGATTAACGCACCAACTTCCAGTTAAGTGACATGAAATGATTCGACCTTAATGCAAAGGGACATATACCTACTCAAAAGCCATCTGCAACACATTCTTTTTCCAGAGTGGTCATATATTCCTAGAAAATAAGTAAATTTTGTTTAAAAAATTCATCTAAATTATGAAGTGAAACCTGTATGTCAATGAGATGAAATGTTTTCCTATTGGTTAACTGCTTGAAGTAAAAACAGATGTAAGGCTTTTATAAGAGAAGCAGATAGTGCAAAGATGTATGACTTGTTCAAACCAAATTCAATGAATTGCTTGCATCGTGCTTTTCAGATTTCAAGTGCAAGTGATAGTAGGGGGGAAGCTAGCTTGGAGTATACGATAGAAACAACAAGCAAATCAAAGCACAGTCAAGCATCTGCAGAAAATTTTACAGAATACCAACCGTGTCACTTCTGAAGTTGTTGGATTGGATATCTCCAGTGCCACTGTTCCATCAACTGAACCAGCTGCATACCCTATGGCAACATAACCATTCAGAACTGTTAAGAACCAAGAGCAGTAAGGGATGAAAGGTAAAAACAGCCGTATGACTCAATGGCGGGTTGGAATACGAAAACAGCAAACAAGTTATCTATTAGATAGCTATTAGCTAAAAAATATATAAAATGTTCGATCATTCATTCTAAGCTATTGGTAGTAATAATAATAAACGGTACCTCTACAATAAGGAACTGAGCAAAGGGATCTTATTCGCACATCAAAACAAGAATTTGTAAGACTAGCCGGTCCTTCCATATAACGCAAGTCATACGTTTCTATCGACCCTCCAATGGCAACACTTATATAGCGCCCAGACAATGACATGGTCTTCACTTCTGCACCCATATGTCTCACATGTGAACTTTTTGAGGAGCGTATATCCCACGATACCATCTTCTTGTCCAAACCAGTCGAAATAACTTGGCCTACGGTCAAGAACAGAGAAGACATAATTCAAAATTCCACTCATGAAATTGACTTCAGATTCATGTAGTGACTGGCAGCTGCCTCCTACATTGCCTCTGCATTACACATCACACATGGAACAAAATCACCACAACGGAAGAGAGCAACCATTACTCAATGACGGCATGATTGATTGACAGTAGTAAGAAGAACCAGCTGACCTGTTTCATCCGAGTAGACAACGCAAGTTGCTACATCCTCATGATACCCAATTGCATCACAACTCCCGGAATGCAAGTCACACCTAGCAAGATTTCCATCAGACCTTGAGAAACATCACTGACTAGTCCGAGCTCAAACGAAACCTAACTACGAATGCAGCATCTACATCTATAGTACCACTGGTAAAAGAAAACTGAGCAAGGAACAAGACAGGGTCTGAACACTGAACAGGCACAAATAAATAACAGGACAAGGCAGTAATATAACTATACAAGTTCTAACCTTCTAATGCAACCATCAGAAGCGGCACTGTATGCCAAAGACTCGGCCCCGAAGCAACAATCCAGCAGCGCAAAACCTACTGAAGCTTCGAGTCTGACTCTGGAACTATCCACATCGTACAACCGGAGATTCTGCACTTTCGAAATTGAGCTGTCACTTCCCTCATACGAACAGAAGGAAAAAAATGAAGAACTGTGCATAAAAGGCCAATACTTAACCGAATCCCAGGAAGAAATGAGGAGATTGTTGGAGGAGGGAGCGAATCGGATCCTGGAGACGCCATCACCAATAGGGTTTTCAAACTGCAGGCAATCTCCACTCATTTGGGTAAAGCCTGCTCGGCCCGAGAATCACCAAAAAAGAAGGGGAAACGAAACCCTAATATTTGAAATGACTTGATTCCCCGGTCAAGTGGATTCAGAAATGGGAGCCCAATTTCTGTGATTGCAACAGAAATTGCAACCAAAGCTGTCACGAGCAAGTAAGCGTGAAGCTTAAGGAACTAGCATGCTGAAACAGGGTGTAAAGAAAGTTGGAGCAGGAAGACGAAGTCTCTTAACCAACTAACAGCTATGGCGGAACAACTCTGTTCAAAACAACAAAAAGCAGAGGGAAAAGCAAAGACCTGGGTAAAGTTGACAGATATCTATTGTCTTAAAAGTCAGCTAATTCAATCTGTTCTCCACATTTAGTACCTATAAATTTTCTTTTAACTTTATTCACTCGATGGATAACTTGAATCATAGGTAGATACATAATCAATAGGGCCATCATCATTCCACCAAAAAGAATAGGACCGTCATCATCCACAATCGAAATCGAACTCCAAAATTCCATTATCGAACCTATGAATCAAATTGGCAATTCAATATAGTTGATCTAACTTGAACGTAAGTGGCCATCACCTAATTCAATGACTTCCATATTCACAAAAACTGTGCAGCGTATACATTTACCATCACCATGTTCCAAATTGCACTCCAATGAAATCCTCATAATTTTCATTTGAGGCAGAACTAGATCCAACGATGTCAAGTGAAAGAGTCATCATTCAGCGGATAAAAGTTACTCTAGGGACAACATATTGATCTTCCCCAAGAGCTCGCAACGACGGGAAGGTTTGACACCTCGATGTCGGCTCTTCACCACCTAACAATGTAGTATGTTCCAAGGGTTAGAGTCAGTGGCGAAGCCAGGATTCAAACATACCTGTGTCCTCTTCTCAGAATATAAATAAATAAAATTAAAATTAATAAAACTGAAAATAAACAAGAAATAATCTTTAGTGTAGTGATATGATACTTATTTATTATCCAAAAAGTCAAGGGTTCAATAATTGATATAGGGCTCGAAGTTTGGTACCGGTATTTGGGATATACTATATACCGTACCGAATTAATTACTAGTAGGTATTATCGAATGCCGGTTTATTTTTCAGGAATTGGGATTGGGATTCATTTTCAAGTGTTATTCGGTATTCGGGATTACGAGATTGGGGTCGGTATATACCGAAAGTTAAAAATTAATGAAATATAACACACAACCTTAGCTCATTCCTCACTCTTTCACAACTTAGAAGCCCCCATCCAACACAATTTTGACTTTCCAGTCTAAGCCACTCTCGTCTCTCACCTAATCTCTTGTTATTTTCATAACTCCAAAAAAACAAACACTAGTATTAGTCGTCTCTCGGTCTCCAATATGTCATATTAAAGATTACCAATGACAATAATTTGAGATGTCACCTCTCCTCCATTCTCCTTATCCATATCCTAGCTCTAGGCAAACTCAATACCGGTTGCTTAGTCTCTTTGCCCTAAATTAAACAATTAAATTAAATTAAATTTATATATTTAATTATTAACTGCAAAGGTAATTAATTTTTGTATTCGATAATATTGATTGTGATACCAAAATACTTAGGGATTGAGATATCGAAATTATTTAGGGATTGAGATCGACATTAATTTTAGGATGTAACTCGGTATTTAAGATTTCGATATTGGTATTCCGATATCAAATACAGTACTAATTTCCACCTCTAACTTGATAATGGGTATTATTTCTCTACCCTAAATTTCACCTGTGTCCCAGGACAGGACACATCCAAAGTAGCCTGCCTCCGCCTATGGTTAGAGTAAATCTGTCATTTTAAGTTTAACTATCACATTGTGCTGCTAATAGACTTTTGATTTAGTGCTAATAGATTTTTGACTTAGTTCAAATCCCATCAAATCCTAATAATCCAGTCTTCCCCCCTCCTCTTTAGAAGTTTTGTTTAGAAATGAGGATGATTGTTCATCCTACTGTGATCCCCTAACAAGATTAGATACGGCAATCTGCATAAGCACAATCCCCCCCCCCCCCCCCCCCCCTTCAGTCCTCAGCCATCAGGAAAAGAAAACCATTGCCTGTTCAGGGAAGCAACTATCCAAATAGAATCTCTCTGTAACTCAAGGAGACAATTTCTCCCATCCATGACAGATGAAAAGAACAAAAATGTAACATTATTTACTAACAAAACAATTTTACAACACAATATTTCACAGGCATTGTGCTCTGTCGCTCCAAATTGTTCCAAAATGAAATAACACACTCGGTATTTTTTTGCTTATATCACATTAGCTTACAACAAATGAATTAACTGCACAACAAAAATGGCAAAGTGGATGTAATGGGTTTGAGTAATTTATACTCCCTCGGCTCTCAAAATCTATCTTCTCTGGAAGTTGAAAGACTTGATGGAGATTGCAAAGATGAAGGCGAAGACAGCTACCAATCCAACCATGACACCAGCAATGACTCCCAAGAAATCATGCTTGAACCCGAAGTAGCTCCGCAAGAAATCTTCAACAGCTTCCCCAGTTCCTTCCATGGGCGTCCTCACATCTCCATACTGCGAAACAATCAGCCCGTACAATGTCCACGAGATCGGGTTGGCCCAGTAGTTCCACCTCCACCACACTGGTATGAGCTGCACATAATGAATGAAATTCACCAATTAGTTTGTTACAGTTCTCTTGATGATGATGCTATAGTAGTGAAGAGATAAGAAATCAAATTGACTTACAGGTCTAGGGACGATGAATCCGGCAAAGAGATTCCAGATGGAGTAGAAAAAGGATGAGATGATGGAGGCAATGTGGTGATTTGGCGTGATGGCGACTGTCATCATCCCGTAGTAAGTGAAGTAGAGGAGTGTGAAGTACATGAAGAAGATGTACCACATGAACTTCTTCGCGTCCCATTCGAATCCAATCATGGCATATGTGATCACTCCATAGACCAAAGCCTGTGCCAGAATGTAAGGGATCTCTATAATCACTTGGGCATAGGCATAAGGCAAGGCTGAGTACATCCCAGCAGCTCTCTCCCTGTAGAACACAGTTCTTTCAATGGCTACCACAGGCTGTACCGAGGATGCATTTTGGACACCGAGGAACAACACTGCTGCGAACATCGCTCCCATCGCGTTGAACAGGTCCTGGTTCCTCGATGTTTTGCCACCGAGATCCCAGAACATGGTTCCAAACATGAGGGCAATGAAGGTTGTGAACAGGAACCTGACAGCGGTGTATGGCGGGTTACGCCAGTAGGACCAGTGTTGCTTCCACAGGCAAGCCATGCATTGTGTCAAGAATGGTTGCGAGTATTGTGTTGGGAAGTAGAGTTCTTTTGCTCCTGGTGCTGCTTTGCTCAAGTCCTTGATCAAGGCCTTGTTTCGCTTGTAGAGATCCGAGTTTCGGTATACATCTGTGAAATCGACACCTAGAGCTATCTCTTGTGCTGTAGTGGTCACCTCCAACATCCATGTTGCTGGGTTGTAACCATCTTTGATCTTGCTCACTCCTTCTATCTCCTCAAAGTACTTCACCAAATGGGTAGAGTGGCGGCCAAGAGGGCCGACGTATATCTCTTGTCCTCCTCTCTTCAACAGGAACAACTGCAAATGAACAATCAAGGAAAAGAACAATCTCAAACACTGGTTGTAGTAGTTCCCTTGCTTCTAATAGTTTATGTTTATTGATAGACAATAATTTACCTCATCAAAAGCTTCGAAAATATCGATGCTGGGCTGATGGATGGTGCACACAACAGTTCTACCAGTGTCCACGGTGTTTCTTACTGTTCTCATGACGATAGCAGCAGCTCTAGCATCCAATCCTGAGGTTGGCTCATCCATGAAAATGATGGATGGATTTGCTACAAGTTCTACTGCAATTGTTAGCCTCTTGCGTTGCTCGGTAGTCAACCCACTCACACCGGGGAGTCCAACAAGAGAGTTACGTAAGGGGTTTAGCTCCACAAGATCCATCACTTCTTCAACAAACATCTGTTTTATATATAAATGCAAGTTAGAATTTCATACTGAATTATTGCCTTAACGCAAATAAATCAAAAGTTGACAGGAACTTGTTAAGGTAGGTGTAATTGAGGATGGAAAGCTTACCATTCTGGTTTTTTCATCAACTTCTTGGGGTAAACGCAACCAAGCTGAGTAGACTAGAGACTCATACACGGTAACTTGCGGAGAATGGATGTCATTCTGCTCACAATAACCTGAAATCCTAGCAAAAGTTTCTTGCTTCTTAGGGAATCCAGAAATGGTGATGTTTCCTTCGATGTAGCCACCGGTTTTCCTTCCAGCAAGCACATCCATAAGAGTGGTTTTACCAGCACCACTAACTCCCATAAGAGCTGTCAGAACACCTGGCCTGAAAGCACCACTAATACCCTTCAGAAGCACCAGTTTGTCTTCAGCAACACCTTGGCCTTTCATTTCCTGGAGGCCAGAGAAACAGATATGGTTGGTTAATCTTTGATCCCAAATGACACGAACAAAGTCGACATGCCTTTTTTAATGATAGCTACTTCTATTTGTATTAACTAACCTCTGGCATATCAACCGAGTATACAATGTCGTCAAAAGTGATGGAATGAGGCTCAAATGGAAGAACCATCCCTTTCTTCTTGCTCCCAGTGGCTTCATCATCTGCAGCTGCAGTTATGGATGATCCACCAGTTGTCATCTCAATGGTTCCTGCTGAATTGGTGGCTTCATCTTCAGGTATGACGGCCTGTGGCTTCTCAAACTCTGTTCATTTTAACATATCAAAACAAAATTTAGCAAACAAAAGGTTTCTTACACTAGAAGCATGAACTTAAACATCGAATATTTGGGTGGGGGGGTTACTTACGGTCCAAGAAAGTAAGAGCGAAAGCAAAAACAATGTTGAATAGGAATAGGAATCCCAGAGTTGCTCCCACTCCTAGCCAATACCAATGTGGCTCTGTGAAGAACCCACGAGACCTCAGCACTTGAATTCCAAGTGATTCTGTTGAGTTTGCTGGAACCTGGATATAGGGAGGGAAAATGGGGATGAAATTAGTCCAACTGTAATTTTGACGAATATATATGTGCAAAACAAGTCAGAAAGGAGAGAATAAGGAAGTTACATGTCTCCAACTGTGTCCAAGGAATTCATTGACTACTATTGCATTCTGCCCATACATCATAGGGTTTGCCCAATACGCCCAAATCCACCATTTCTTCACGTCCTCTGTGAAACCAAAAAGAAAATTAAATACATAAGGAATTACAAAGAACACTTAATATTGTTTGTCAGCTAGA